TGGGGAAGTGCAACAAATTTCAATGAAGGTTGGGCCCAAGTTGGACAGGTCAGGCTTGACTTTGGTCTAAAGCCTTAGGCCCAATGCATAGGGTTGGGTCTGGGTTAAGCTTAAATTCAGCCCAACTTACTTGCACCATAATGGTCCAATTGTTTGGGTAAATTGATTAACCAACGATGTCATAATTAAATGATAAAAATTTAAAAAATAGATAGAAACATAGAAAATTAAAAATACATAAAATTTATAGAAAAATTTAACTTATCATGTCAAAAAAAAGTGTGATTAACGAGAATTATTTTTAGAATTAATTATGTAAATGAAATAAAAATTTTAAAGTTGCCCAAAAACAAGAGTGCCTTTTTTCCCATCAAATAGTCCAACACATGATGTCCTAATTATATAATAAAACTCAAAAAATAGATAGAAATAAAAAATAAATATGATAAATAAGTACTTTTATTAATAATGAAATGAAATATAAAATCTAAATCCACCAGCTTACCCTGCTTTGATTACTAGTCTTTTTAAATAATTCTAATAGGGATTGAAATTATTAATATTATCTGAAATTGCCATATGAAACAGACATGCATATTTACTAATGTAAGAATGCGGGTTTGAACTTGAGAGAATCTGTTTTTAAGAGTTGGATCGTCTCCCAACAAATCGTCCCAACTTATTCCAACAAGATCTCTGCCCTTTTATGGGTTTCAATGTTACGGTGACATGTGGGGGACATAGATCATGTTGGAACGTGTTGGGTGTTGGAAGGAGGAGACCCCAACTCATTTTGTAAAAAAAGAAATTGTTATTGTTAGGTCCAGTCCAGCCCCTCCCAGAACCTCCTATGGCTGAGACCAACGTTGAGTGATGGTGCTTTTATTTTCATCGCTAGAGCCATGGTCTTGCTCCACTAAATGTTCAACATGTGGCATATTATTTGTCTTGTTTCCCACAGCAAAAATAACATTTTTTAATTCTGTCGAGAATAAGGCTGGTTCGCTGCTCAAGGCCTTACTTTTTTTAATTCTTTCTAGAATGAAAATTAGCCCCATAACACAAAAGTTGAATAGCTTGCAGCATGAAAAATAATCATGCCACAACTTGCTCATTTTCATTCTTTGAGGAAACTCTGCCTATAAACCGTTGCTATAGATATTTACTTTTACGAAAGTACTTTTGCAAAAATACTTTTACGAAAATACTTTTATAAAAATACTTTTATGAAAGAACTTTTATAAAAGTATTTTTACATGGAAACACTTTTATAAAAACACTTTTATAAAAGTACTTTTATAAAACATCTATGCCAGCAGTTTTGGAGACCTAGGCTAGTGGTGTATGAATACCGACAGTTTTTTTTTTTCTTTGAAGAATGAAAATGAGCACTATTTTTAGAAAAAGTGTTTGGTTAATTGCAATATTTTCTCATTTTGCCTATTTTTACCCATTCTTATTCATTTTAGAATTTCATTAAAAAAAAAAAACGAGAATTGAACCAAACATGGCCTAAATGGCTAGTTGATTGTAGTCCAACGTGTACCATTTGTCTAGATTTTTTTTTAATGTCATTTGTATAGATTTAGAGAATAATTAAAAGAAATAAACTAAATTCTATTTATTTTCTGTGAACCTTGGGCTGGCATTGGTTCAGCCTGACTGCCTGAGCCTATAAACATTAACTGGACTGAGTTGGGCTGTGTCCTAGGCCTCTTTCAGATGGGCCCAATTAAAACCCAATTAAACAAGGACAATCCAAACCGATCTAGGGGGGGTAGTGCAATATGAACAGTTGTTTTTAAAACACAAAAACCGCCACATAAGCAAAATCATATTACTTTTCCTGATTTGAAAATTGTTTTTGTTTTGAAAAACAAATCCATACATATCTGTTAACATCTCCTAAGTTGAAAATAGGCCTCAATCTCAAGACAAGAGAAAAGTTGAGGGAAAATTCTCAAGGAATATAAAAAATTTTGTTAATTACTTTCCCTTCGTTTTTTATTTTTCTTATTTTCTTTCAAACTTAAAAAAGTTCAAAGACAAGGAAGAAAAAAAGGGTTCTAGCAGATAATGGCAATTTTTTGCCCTGAAAAAATAATATTTTTATAAAATAATTAAAATAAAATAACTTTTTTGGAAAAATATCAAGAAAGGACAGCAATACTGTTCATCGTCTTCCCCTGCCTCTGTATTCATGCGAAAAATATCAGGAAATGTGTGCAATGGTTCCACTCTACTTTGCCATGTTGGTGGCGTATGGTTTGGTAAAGTGGTGGAAGATATTTATGCCATGTTGTGTGTTTGCTGTTCCCGTGCTGTCATTCCACTTCATATCTCAGAACAACCCATACGGCCATACCAGATGGACACCAAGTTCATACTGGCTGATACTGTTTCTAAGATCTTGGTGCTTGTTTTGCTCTTCCTCTGGGCCATGATCTTCCATGGAGGACTAGATTGGTTAATCACTCTCTTCTTTGTTGCAACACTGCCAAACACACTAGTCATGGGCATTCCACTGCTCAAATCCATGTATTGAGACTTCACTCAGAGCCTCATGGTGCAACTGGTCGTTTTACAATGTATAATCTGGTACTGATATTATCTACTCCATAACCCGGTTCTGTGCTACACCATTTCTTTATTTAATTTGGTTTTCTTTCTTCAGTCACACTGCAACTCTCTCTCTCTCTCTCTCTCTGTGTGTCTGTGGTGTGAAAAGATGGTAAAAAGTAGTGAAGGAAGAATGTTTTGTCATTGGGTCTATGTAAAAGCTTAATCTGGATATGGGTTATGATGCAGGTATACGCTTCTACTGTTCTTGTTTGCCTACTAATCCAGGACCAGTTCCCGGTTTCCGCATCTGCCTCCATAGAAAAATTCGAGATCGACGGTGATGTAATTTCCCTCGACGGCTGGGACCCATTATGTTCCGAGTCAGAAGTTGTCGGAAACGGCCGCATTCGAGTTTGTATTCGACGGTGACAACATCAAATACACACCGACGTGGATCAGATCTCCGGCAGGTGGGAGGGTTTTTCCGGCAGACGTCACCAGCATTCTCCGGTGTGAAAATGGTGTGGGAGTCACCGGGGAAAAGTCAAGCTGGGGGGACAAACAAGGGTGCAAAGATGTTGGACTTAGAGGCAGAGGGAGACGATGAACAATATCATTGCCCTCGATATTTTTTTCAAAAAAGTTATGTTATTTTAATTATTTTATAAAATTATTACTTTTTATTGATATTCGGGGCAAAAAGTTGCCCTTATCTAATCTAATAGAAACTCAAAAAAAAAAATTAAGGAAAGATCAACCTTTTAGTCGAGATGGTCACTTGGCACCTCTACAAATAGGAGGTGCAGGATCAACCAATAGAATTGTAGGATCTTCATAGTATGACCAGTAGGCCTCCCATGCTCCCTGCTCTGCTCTACCCCCAAATCTTTTTCATGAAGCAAGGTTCTAAACATCGATACAAATAAAATCGATCCGATATATCGGATGGGTCTGTATTGGTTGGAGCTTTACTTATATAAAAAAAAAACTATTCCGGAGGATTGGTATAATGCCTGTCTACCCCCTGAAACAAGTCAAATACTGAAATAATTATTATAGGAGCGAATGGGAAGGTCACCGATATAATATATCGGCCGATACGATACACTCCAATACGTTGCGAAAGACGAAAGGCCTGTGCATAGCAGAGGCTTTCCCTTTGGGAGGGCTTTCACCCTAGGTCTTTTGGTTTTACAAGATGGAACATTGGAGCCTACAGATGGCTCTCAATACAAGCTTCGAAACAGCTGAACCAAAGTCCAACCAACAATTCGTGGCCGAGCCCGGCTTACAAGTTACAATCATTGTCATCAATCATCATGAGTGATGAGTCCAAGTAACTGGGCTATTCCAATACGCGGTTCCATCATTTTCGTTCAGAATTCCACACCGCAGACGATGCTCTGAATAAGAATTAAGAATATGAAATTGATGGTTTTGAATCCTGGTCCTGGCCTCGTGGCCATTACTATCGTTGCCTACAATCACGAATCCTTCTGTTCTGTTAATATTTTATTCATTATTTATTAATTATTTCAACCCAATGAGCTTGATATTATCACTCTCACCTCTTACTTACATAACCGTACAAAACAAGAAACCAGGAATAGAGATCCGGGTCATGACCAACCCTGCCAAACGCGTTACCGCCTCCAAACATAGCTGTCAATTAAGTTGCTATATTGCCATTTGCCAACCTGGTGGTTCTCCATCTGTCAATCCGATCAGCAGAACATTCGGTCCGACCTGGTCCCGGATCGATCCAAATACATTCCATACTTTTTCAAAAGTGGGAAAAGGTGATATCAATAGGGTCCTGTTCGACGGTTAGTCGGTGGCATCTTCTGCTCAATTCACCGCTTCAGTCTGGTCTTCGTTGCCCATCCAGTTCATATACCCATCGGTATGAGCTGTTTAGGACCCTTATTATTGGGCCAATTATAATCGTCCAATGGGCCGGGCCAGTCGAGTGCTTTTTCTTTCGACATTTCCAAAGCCCACTGCCAAGTGCCATCCCAGACAACGAGAGTGAAGGACCTCTTTACTTTTACTACATTGAAGTTGGGCACCAATGTCAATGTGTGAAGGAATAAGAAAAGTCGTTTTGTTGCTTTCAAATTTAAGGAAGAAACAAAAACGTGAAGCGTAGGTTCAAAGTACCAAAAGATGCTCTTCCAAGTGTCATCATTCGACGAGGGCCCACCCTCACAAAAAGTCACCTCCCTTTAAGGCCGTCCGATATGCAAAAGCTGGGAATTCAGGCCCAGCAGTGAGTGTTGAAACCGCCTGGGAGCCCAACAGGTTTCAATGTGAAACCTAACATTGACAGCAACGCACAACTGGGTCCTTGTCTTGCTGATTATCTCCTACGGTCCTACCCGTATTGTTCCAGAAACGGAAGAGGTCAAAGGTCAAATTTCTAGGCAGGTCTCTTTCCATATTCCAATCCATCCTTCATTTGAAGCTTATTTCCATAATAATTATGCAATTTACTACACCATGCACAGAAAAAAATCTGATGCAAACATAAGAATAAGAGAGACGAGAGAAAGAGAGAGAGCGAGAGGAGAGTCTATTGTATGTACATCTTGTACAACTACATATATCAGCCTGGGGAAAATATAATATTCACTGTCCGATTAAAGGCAACCAATTGACGTCCGATCTCCACCGCACGATTGAAGCGACTGCATCCAAATCATTGCCGCTCAATCTCTACATGATTCATGTAATCCCCAGTACAAGTTAGCAAAACCCATCTATATAACCATCTCTCCTAAGACTTTCATGTTGTTGTCTTCGCACGTGCACAGTCATGGACTTTAGCCTCGTGTGCAGTGCAAGTATCCGGTATTGCATGCACCACGGAGGAAGAATGTAACTTGGACACCACAGATTTGATCTTGACCGTTCGCTTCAGAATGGCTTCTGCAGGTACATGAACATGTCCTGTAAAGGGTTGAACTCGTTGACATTATGATTGAGCAGAGGAAATGGGTTATCAGCGGCAGTACCGCCAGTGGCATCAAGGTAATTATAGGGGAAATCGAGGGCCTTCTCGCAATCGCTCCACTTGGGCTCGCTCTCGACCTCCTTGTCGCACGTGAAGTCCGGTGACACCACGTGCTCGGAGCAGCTCGAGTCAGCATGCAGTTTCGGTATCGAATCCGAGGAGTCGAAATACATCATGTCATTGATCGGCGGCGCCGCTGCTGGCGGTAGCGCCAGCATATCGCAGCCGTACGATACGGTGTCTGGCTTCTGATCTTCGACATCCGAGCAGGTGGACGAAGGGACGGGCATGGATTTCCGACTATCGACGGACATATTTCTCTCTATGCTGCCTTTCTTATTGTAGATTCGGCACAGAACCCAGTCGTCCAGCTGCACAGAACCATCAACGTCAGATCAGAATCTAAGACCTTGACAGTAAAAAAATCACGACCATAAAAAAAAAGCTTTATTTCTTTATTTAGAATGATAAATATGAAGAATCTAATTCTTTCCTGAAAACGGAAAGATTAGAAAGTTTAGAAACGTCACTATTCACAATAATAATATACGTGGAATCACTTGGATGAATATGAAACCTATGATCATTTTCAATGGACCCACAATTTTCTAATTTAGTGTTATGGTGATGGGGTAGGGTCCATCGAGAATGATAGACCTCCCATAACAATAATAGAAGAGGAGGAACTTGCTATGTTCAGGACCCAAGGGTTTTCAATCATAGACAAAATGACTATTTTGCCCCGTTGGCCCCTTCGACTTCGAGTCGACCACTGAGATTTCACTTGGAGGCTTGGCAGTTCATGTTCTCGTAAATGCCTATCATACCCTTTATTATATGAGCTTATTACGAGACAGGATGGGGAAGGGGAAGTACTCTTAAGCTGTTCTTCTTCCGAGCCGACCTATCGACGTCGGCGAGACGATACTCATGCATGATCCAGTTGGTTTTCTCTCCCCTGGGCGCTTTTCCGGCGTAAAACACCAACGCCTTCTTTATTCCGATCGGTTTCGGCTGCCCTATGGGCTTGTCCGCTCCGGTGGCCTTCCAGTACCCGGTTCCGGCCGCTCGGTTCGGCCTCGATCCGTTTGGATACTTTCGGTCCCTGGGAGAAAAGAAATACCACTCCTTCTCACCATACAACGCCATGCCTGCACAGCCATCAACACCGACCGACGTTAATCCTAGCTTATTCATTTATGAAGCCAGTTAATTAAAAATAAAATTTAAGTGAAATCAAGAAGAATTACAGGGAAGATGCCATGGATCGTATTTGTAGAGATCAATCTCTGCGATAATCGGAACCGCGATGGACTGAGACGCGCATTTACGGCAAAGGTAGTGCATCACCAACTCCTCATCCGTCGGATGGAATCTGAAGCCTGGAGGTAACTGCAAATCGGCCGTCATTTACCTACTTTCTTCTGTGAAAAAACTGAAAATTTCGGTTCTTTTTTCTCTCTACTCTCTGTTTCCTCCCTGCTGCAGTTGCTGGTGCTGCTTCTACTTCTTCCTCGATGGTTTCGGAGGCTTGGTCCGAACGACAGCGCTTGAAACGTAGAAACCAAGAGTGAGGCCGGTATTTATAGACCGAAAAGAGCCACGTGGTATCAGTCAGCCAGCGGTATGTAGAACTACACGTGGACCGGACCATCCGCCGTAGAGGGCGAAGAGCGGCTGACCGCAGTCGGACACGCGTCGGCAATCCAAAGCGGCGGTGCCACGTGTTGATACGACGCTTTTGGTGATTTAGTCATTCCTTGCGTCACCTGTTTTGGCCGTATTCGCAAGTCGGCTCTTGGCCTCTTGGGGACCAACGGCCCCCGCCCCTCCTCGGAATCGCTTTGGACCGGTGTTTCTCCCTTTTTCATCTCCTCGGTCCTCGTGTGTTGGCGAATCAACGGAGGATGCTTTTCCACGTCATCATCTGACGTGTGCCACATTGTCCGCCGGGATTTTATCCATACTGCACAGCAGATTCCTAACTAATTACCGGACCCTATCCCCTGTGTCTCAACGTGGCAGAACCTCACCACATGCCAAATGATCTGAAGCCAGATTAACAAGATCGGTGATGATTGTGCCTTATGGGGGCAATGATTTACGAAATTACGATGCATTGAAACACACGTAAGCGTAGAAGGTAATAAACGACAAGAATCTAGTTGTCGGTCTTCATTGGTGTGAACTATGTGCTTGGGCATCCAAGGTGAAAAGAGGTGGGGCCGACTGGGAACTTTTTTGTCGTGTAGCACTGCAACAGGGGAGCGGTATTGTCATCACGTGGCACCGGAGCTGACGTGGATTTAGTGTATTTTGGGCTAATTAGCCCCGTAATTATTTAATTTAATTTACTATAATTGGGTGCTTCCCTAACTGTCCAATTAATGGGGCCCATCCACATTGGGTAGTAGGTAGTATGCTGGACTATAGTAAGCCCAACCCATATACACCCTGCCCAACTCTGACCTATCTAGCTACCTCTCCAATCTCCATTAAATCCCACTTCAGAGTTAAATGAGGTGGTCCCTGATTTCCTCATCAACGGTGACAATTGCAAGATATCTTGTGCTAATCGGTCGATTGTCAATTATGGTAAAGCTGTCAATGGGTCGGGTCTAGTTGATAAAATCGAACCGAATATAATAATTGGGTCGGAAACATTCATGAATAAAACCTTAAAACCTAAACTAATTAGAGACCGGGTCTACTGCCAATAAAAAACATATTAACTGATCCAATTATTCTGATTAATAATCAGTTTTCATTCGGGTTCTGAGGCCCAGTTTTAATTGGGTCGGATCAGGTTTCATCCTACCCGGGACAGACCCGACCCATAGTATGGTATCGGGATCTGAAGTGATGGTTGAACAAGTAGGTTGATGTTTATCCACATTCCACAGTGAGGAAAATTTTACTGTTGATTAATTTATAAAGGGATTAAGTAAAAAGGGGACGAAAACAGAGGGATTTGGCTTGAAAACATCACATCATGACTAAGCTCACTACACAGAATTGAGTGTGTAGGCATGACTTTTTATAATTACTTAATTAATTAATTTTATATTCTTCTTTCAGAAGTGGTCTACGTTAGCTGCACATAAATATACTTCTTTTGACCATTGCCGTGAATAAGCTTTTCAGTTTACATCACCCCGTAGAAGCAGCATCATCCATGGATGGGGACCCTTTGGGCCTTGACCCGACCCGTCCCGTCCATCCGCCATCACGTTTGGTGATAAGTTATAGCTAGATACATAGTATAGTAGGGATGTGATGACCAGACCCAATGGGCGCAGCCCATGAGAAGGACCGATTGGTCCGATCTTTATCTTTGTCAAGAAAGGTAAGAGTGGACTAAGAGTCTAAGACCACTATGTGGCGGCCGGAGCCCCGAAAGGCAGAAAAGGACAAATTTTCACATTGGAAGTTTGGAACCATTGAGCCCAATGTATTCGACGTAAGCAGTGATAAAAGTGTGTCCTTTTCTTGGGTGAACAAAAAGCCAACAAGGTCATGGGCCTCATGGCCGCCGTAGCTGGTGGTAGATTCCAGGGTTCCGGCATCCTGGAAGGTTCATGGAGGTGTATGTTCAAAAGCATTGCCTCAGCCTCAGGGGCTGCTGGCTGCTGCAGGCGGTAATATGGTGGACTGTAGACCAGGCCCGTCTTATTCAGTTGCTCTCTCCTACTCCCAACAACTCTACACATGTTGCACGTTCTGGTAGTAGTGAGGACTGGTGGTTGACTGGTTGAGGGTGTGTGAGCATATGCTCATCTTATTCTTTTACTGGTTTGAACTTTGAATCAGTGTGGTGGTCTGCAGACTAAGATTGACCCGGACGGTTCAAGTCTGACAATATTGGTTTGAATTCATAGGGATTCTTTTGCTAGGACCATGTAAGTATTTGGTATTATTGTGGTCATGGTTTTTAAAACCGACCCAGAGACCAAACCGGTCAGGGGTCCGGTCGACCTGAACGGCCATCCCGTTCTGACAAAAAAATAATAAAATTAAAAAAAAAATTGAAAACCAGTCAAAACTGTTCGAACAGTTAATAACCCGGGTCAGCGGTTTACTGACCAAAATCAACAGTTTTTATGGAAAATCTGGTTTTGGAGGAAACTGGAACCGATCACTTGACCAATTCCCAATTTTTCCGATCCAACCATCTGGTCCGGTCTGGTTTTGAAAACTATAATTGTCATTTATTTTTTTATAAATGAGTTTCATCAGTGTGGTTTCATCACCTACTTTGGTGGGGATGGGGTGGGGTTATAAAAAGAAATGGTTCCTTTAAATTTTTTTAGTTACATGAAAGCTATTGTCAAAAAGAACATTAAGGGCTTTTTTTTTTTTTTTTTGATTTTGAGAAAGGAAAACGTAGACGAATAGGATTTTAGTTCCCATTTACCAAGATATTCATATGTATTTTTTCAAATTTATATAAGGTTCATGAAAAATTTATTTTCCTAAGACATCACTTACTTGAATAAATAATACTTATCTCAGAGGTAAATCTAAATAAATCAATTATTGTATTATTTAGTTGGAACTTAAAAAATATAGATAAGTGCATTTACCAAAGTAACTAGGTAAATAACTTCCCAAAAAACGAACTATGCCTAAAATGAAACTTCTTGCCACGGTATTATGGTTTTTTACTTTATGATCTATATGGCACCTAATGGTATCTAATGATGCCTAATCAATTAACTTGAATAAATAATAAAAATATGCACATAATCAAAGTATAAACATTTCTTGAAAAAGTTCGATGGTACCAAACATAACACATCTAACCTACCCATTTCTTGGCATTTATCGCTTGTTTAGCTGGTTTCTTAGATTCATATGTCTCGAGCCACCTAGTAATTAAAGAGATGTGGCAGCTGAATTGGCTGGCCAGAGGGTTCCATGTGTTAGCAATTGTGACCTCTCCACATGTGTTGAATTGCAGAAAGATGGGCCCTTGCCATGTGATATTCTGGCAAGTTTCTAAACCGAAATTTCTGATGAAAGTTAAGTGGCTAAGGTGGTGCAAAGAGATCCCTACACAATGACAACCCAACATGTCCCTATCTGATGGACAAGAGTTTGGCACTTAATGCCCCCTCCATGAATCCTAGAACAATGGAGAGGGTTTGGTAGCAAAGAGATATAGATGAGATGAACCGCCCATAGTGGATTTTTTGTTTTGTTGGATTGGATTTGCAGGTGTTTGACCAAAAGCATCAATGTTTTGTAGGGATTAGGATAAGGTCTCACATCCCCCACTAGGTGTTTGTTGTTTGGTCCTTGTACCAATTTCATCAGCAGGTCAAAAAACAATAGAAAAACATTGGGGTTGGCTTGGAGTGGGATGAAGGAAGAGATAGATCAAGGCTTGGAGGAGAGATGAATGGCTGTAGAAACTACCAGACATTCAATCCAGAAGAGCCAAACACCTGAGAAAAACAAGCCAAGAAGATGTCTGTTAGGTAAGGAGATGGGAATTGAATGAATTGAAGTGGGAGGTGACTCCACAACAGTGATTCATTATCTGTCATCCAAATCGATCAACTTGTATTCTATGTACCTAGTACAGGCATCCATTTATGTAAGGTCGTAGAAGCTGTAATGGGGGTGGTCCACCCCACATTTTGGCATTGCATTCAGAGGCAGACCTCCAACCTTGGTGAATGAATTGTGGGTCTTCCCAACTGGACCTTGGTGGCTGTTTAGACTCTTCTCTGTCACAGGGCCCTTGTCCTTCTGTTTAATTTGTATTTGGCCCTCTTCCTGTGCAACACAGTCTAGGTTAATGACCAAACAAAAACCCAAAAAAAAAAAAGAAATGTGGCGGAAAATGCCAGCGAAGACCATCTTTTTGTTACATTCATCTCATTTTGTAGAATTTTGATTTATGGGTACAAATGCACTTTGGTTGATCTTCATCGTTTGAACTGAATTATTGTGGGTCAGCTCAACTTGCACTCAATCCACAAGAATGAACCGCCAATGGATTATTAAATTTTCTTCATTGGGTAGCTTCAAATTCGGAGCTTCTATTGCCACTTGGGAAGAACATCAGTGCCAAAACTTTTCTAACTAGTCTATTTTGCTAACTTTTTTGCCACGTGTAATTGGTTAGAGTTCTTGCCACCTGTAAATTGTATTCTGTTCCTGTCAAAATCAAATAATACACTACCAATGTATAAATAATCCTTAGTAAAATAGAGGAGGCAAGTTCTAACCTGCAACTTTTAGTTCAAATTGTTAGTTAAAAATAACCAGAAACTATGCCCCAGGTGGTTTTCTTCTGTTCAAAAATTTGGTAAATAATAAGGCAAGTGGATGGATTTGGTTAAAGTTTTAGCCATCTAACAGTTGATAAAGATGTGTAACGAATATTTACAAATTCACAAGTTGGTTATGATTTGATTTAATTATTGGGCTGATGAGGATTATCAGGAAGTACATGGGGAATTTGAGATTCGTTTGTTTGGAATATCCTCCTACAGAGAATATAGAGAAAGTCTACTTATGCTTTGGAACACAAGAGAATTAAATCCTTTGGTAATTTGATTTAAC